GGCGGATCCTTGGCGCGTGCGGTTTGGCGTGCACCAGGGGGGGTGGCGTGCGTTTATCAAGCCCCTTCAATTAGTAGTGGAAAATGGAATTGGGAAAAAATTTCTCAAGCAGGCTTTGTAAATCTTGATGCTTGAAATTATCGAACTAGAAATAGATCAAGAGAAAAATAGAAAAGAAAAACATTATATGGTCTTTTCATGAATGGAAATCAGAAATATTTTCAAGTTCCTGGCATTTTTCAAGGATGAAAAACTATCTTCTTGAAAATAGTTACATTTTTAACTATGAGGGGCAAGGGAAAACTAGATTGACTAGTGAGGCGTGAAACCAATAATGTCTCTCAGAAACACTCTGTCAACTTCGTCCAAACTTTCAAACCAATCCTTCAATTGAACCATTACATTTTGGAACGTAGGATTGTGTTGTTCTGGGTTTTGAATCAATTGAAACAGGTCTCTTGAGTTTAACATTCCCCCAATGTTATTCATTAACCTTTGAAACCTGTCAATGTCCCTTGAGGTGGCCATTCATGGAATCATTAGTTCTTGGAACAGTACCCAACAACCAGGATAGTTTCATGTAACTCACTCAATGTTGAGTGGCAAAAATGATGGACTTCTTTGTCCATTGACATGATAGGCTTTTGGTTCCTTGAAAAGGTTATATTACAGGCATCAAAAGAGACACAGTGGTCAGCTTTAATGACCCCTCTGATGTTCTATACCAGTTTAAATTCACTTACATCCTTGTATTTAAATTCACTATGTCCATATTCAATTCTACAAAGGGGACATGTATGAAGCCAGTTATCTGCACAGGCCAAACGGTTCCAAAGTTCCAATTGGCCCTTTCTCTTTGTTATCCTGCAGGTCATCTAGACAAACCAAACAAGTCTTGTCAACCCATCATCCAGGTACCCAATTTGAAGCCAATCAAAAAGAAAGAAAGAGAGAATCAGTCTGAAGTTAGAAAGATTAGCTGCACAGGGGTTGCAGATGGACTTACTGTCTCTGAAGAACTGAAACTGGGCTCGCCAGTCACCTCAATGGCTTTACCCTCAGATTCAGACACATTCTCCACCCCACTGCTTGATCCAGGAGGAAAAGCTGCTTCTTGTGAAACCTATGAGGAGAAAGGAATCAAATTTATTCAGAGACCAAATTCTACACTGTTCCAGGGATCCAATCATGAAGGAGAACATTTGATTACCTTGATGAATAATAAGGTAACCAAAGTAATTGAAAGGAATTTGGAGGTGAATCTTAGAAGCTTCATTATTGCTGCTTTATAGCAAAAGTTACAGTAGAATGGTATGGAGACAATGTGTTCAGAATGTTTAACTGGAGCTTTTATGTTGAGCAAGAAAACAATCTTCACCTGAGTGTGTCACATTTTAATCATACTTGAAAGCTGAACATTTCCAGCTCCAATTCTGTAAAGTTTGATCAAAGTTGATGAGAATATTTCAAGAGAAGCTGTCTTCCCTCAGAATCTGCTAACTTCTATGTCTGAGCTGTTTGTTCTTTCAGCATACATGAAAAGACATCTGGAAAGCCATAAGTTTCATCAATTTCAATTAATCTTGTATGAGAACATGTCTTCCCTGATCAGCTTATCACATGGCTCTGGGATTTCCTTTTCATCCTAAACCAATTGGTCATTTGGAATGCTCAGTCTGAGCCTGATTGCAAGGATTGACAGCAACTAGAAACTACTGCATTTATCCCAAGTAAAACAAGCTCATTGGGATGGATTCCTCTCAGAAATATGGTTATAAGCAGCTAGTGCATCAATTCACCTTTACAGAAAATGAAAACAGTAGCAGGTTTTCCTACTAGTAAAGGTAATTGACAATAATATCCTACCAATTTATTTTGGCTGTATAAGTCAATTCAGGATTCAGATTTCAGAGTAAAAAAGACACTGATTTTATGATTTTACCAAATCTTATTCAGACAGAGTATAATTGAATTAATCTTGAAAAAATAATGTGATAAAAAATTATCTCAAGCATGCTTTGTAAATCTGAATGCTGAAAAATATCAAACTAGAAAGAGACAAAGAGAAACAAGAATCAAGAGATGGTCTTTGAATGCATGGAAATCAAACAAAAAAGATGTCTAAAAGTTTCTTTTTCTTTGTATTTTCAAATTCCTGGCATTGGTTAATGATGACTTGGAGATGTATGTTTAAGAATACTTGCATTTTTAGCTATGAGGGGCAAGGGGAAACCAGATTGATCAGTGAGGCATTGGATGGCCCCTGAGGCTCATAAGCTGTCTGTGAAATTCATCCAAACCCTCAAACCAACCGTCCAGCTCACGCCTTATATGTTGAAATAGATGATTGTGTTGTTCTAGCCTTTGATTGAATTGATGCAGGAGCATTGATGCTACCCTTTCCGCAATATCATCCCTTGAAATTTCAAGCCTGCTGATATCCCTTGAGGCCGCCAGTAATGGAATCATTAATTCTCAGAACATCACTCAGCAAACAGGATAAGCTTCATGCAACTCACTCGGTGTTGGGTGATTCAAATGATGGGCTTTCTTGTGGATTGACATGATAAATGGTTGGGTCCTTGAGAAAATCATATTAAAATTTCAAGCAATACAAGAAAATTAGTGGTGAGCTTTAATGACACCTCTGATGTTCTGTACCAGTTTAACTTCACATACCTCCTTGTATTTAAATTTCCTAGGAGCATATTCACTTCTGCAAAGAGGACATGTACCTTTGGTTCAAAGCCAGTTATCTGCACAGGCACAATGAAAGGAGTGACCACACGGTTCCAAAGTTCCAATTGGCCCTTTCTCTTTGTTATTGTGCAGGTCATCTAGACAAAACACACAAGTCTTTTCAACCCATCATCCAGGTACCCAATTTCAAGGCAATCAAAAAGAAAGCAAGAGAGAATCAGTCTGAAGTTAAGAAGAATAGCTGCACAGGGGTTGCAGATGGACTTACTGTCTCTGAAGAACTGATACTGGGATCACCAGTCACTTCAAGGGCTTTGTCCTCAGATTCAGACACATTCTCCACCCCACTGCTTGATTCAGGAGGAAAATCTGCTTCTTGTGAAACCTATGAGGAGAAAGGAATCAAATTTATTCAGAGACTGAATTATACACTGTTCCAGGGATCCAATCATGAAGGAGAACATTTGATTACCTTGATGAATAATAAGGTAACCAAAGTTATTGAAAGGAATTTGGAGGTGAATCTTAGAAGCTTCATTATTGCTGCTTTATAGCAAAAGTTACAGTAGAATGGTATGGAGACAGTGTGTTCAGAATGTATAACTGGGGCTTTTATTTTGAGCAAGAAAACAATCTTCACCTGAGTGTGTCACATTTTAATAATACTTGAAAACTGAACATTTCCAGCTCCAATTCTGTAAAGTTTGATCAAAGTTGATGGAAATGTTGCAAGAGAAGCTGTCTTCCCTCAGAATCTGCTAACTTCTCTGTCTGAGCAGGTTGTTCTTTCATCATACATGAAAAGAAAGCTGGAAAGCCATAAGTTTGATCAAGGTCAATTACTCTTGTATACAAACACGTCTGCCCTGATCAGCTTATCACATGTTGGAAGTTGGTCTACAGAATTTGAAACCATGTGAAGTCAATCGCTACCTACTCTTTGTAAAATCCTGGACATGTATCACTCAAGGGCAAGTAATAGAATAATCTTTTCACAAGGTAATACAATTCACCAAAACACATGAATTGATCACAACTTGATGCCTCAATGAGCAACGAGATAAAGACAGCACTTGAAAAGAATATAGAGGTTAATCTTGGGAGCTTCATGTGTGGTGCTTGTGAATAAAAATTGTGCTTGAGTAGATTGGAGGTACTTTGTTGAGATGATATTGTTCTTTTGTGTACCTGTTAAACTTAATGTTTGTCCCAGCAAGTCACCTATTAATCCTGCTTGAAATCATAACACAGGCAGCTTGGATTTGGTAAGTTTGGTGAAGGTTGATTCAAAAATTGTAAGAAAACCTGTCTTTCTTCAGTCTCGGCTGGTGTTCATGTCTGAGCCAGTCATTCCTTCATGAAACTCATGTATACCAGCTGTAAATTGTGTTTGAAGTTGATTTCAATGTTGTACAAGAACATATCTGTCCCCAGTATTGGTATCATGGGAATCAGCCTACAGATTGTGAAACCATGAAAAATCAACATTTTGCTTCAATAAAATTGCCACAGCTCACCTTCCTTCGTTGGCACTGCACATGAGTATTCAAGAGCCATTTTTGGATAATAATAGGAATGTGTACAATTGATCATGGGAGGGGATAAACTCATCAATATCAATATCAATTCTCTTCCCAATATTACTGGCAGATGTGACAAGATTCAACTCTTTGATTTCCTTCTCATTCTAAACCAATTGGTCATTTGGAATGCTCAGCCTGAGCCTGATTGCAAGGCTTGACAGCAACTAGAAACTACTACATTTATCCCAAGTAAAAGAAGCTCATTGGGATGGATTCCTCTCAGAAATCTGGTTATAAGCAGCTAGTACATCAATTCAATTTTTCAGAAAATGAAAACAGTAGAAGGTTTTCCTTCTGGAGAAGGTAATTGACAATAATTTCCTACCAGTTTCTTTTAGCTGAAGAGCTTCTTGCAAGGAATCAACTCAGATATCAGGGTCAAAAAGACACTGATCAAGTTTCATGATTTTACCCAATTTGCTCATACATTTTACCAAAAAACCCAAAGCATATATCAGTAAATTTGGACAGAGTATCATTTAATTAAGCTTGAAAAAATAATGTAAGAAAAAATTATCTCAAGCAGACTTTATAAAACTGAATGCTGAAAAATATCAAACTAGAAGGAGGCAAAGAGAAACAAAAAAAAGAGATGGTCTTTGCATGAATGGAAATCAGAAATCCTTTTCTTCATATTTTTAAGTTCCTGGAATTTTTTACGGATGACTTAAAACTATCTTTTTAACAATAGTTCATTTTTTAACTATGAGGAGAAAGGAAAAACTAGATTAACATGAGAGGCATGAAATCAATACGGTCTCTCAGAAATACTCTGTCAACTTCATCTAATCTCTCAAACCAATGCTCAATTTGACCCATTACATCTTGGTAGAGAGGATTGTGTTGTTCTGCGTTTTGGATCAAATGAGACAGGTCTCTTGAGTTTACTACTCCCCTCATGTTATTCATTAACCTTTGAAACCTGCCAATGTCCCTTGAGGTGGCCAGTAATGGAATCATTAATTCTCAGCACAATACCCAACAAACAGGATCAGTTTCATATAACTCACTCGGGGTTGAATGGCACAATTGATGGACTTCCTTTTCCAATGACGTGATAGGGTGTTGGGTCCTTGAAAAAGGTATATTACAGGAATCAGAAGAGAAGTAGTGGCCAGATTTAATGACACCTCTGATGTTCTGTACCAGTTGAAATTTACTTACCTCCTTGTATTTGAATTCACTATGACCATATTCACTTCTGCAAAGGGGACATGTACCTTCGGTTTGAAGCCAGTTATCTGCACAGGCACGATGAAAGGAGTGATCACATGGTTCCAAAGTTACAATTGGCCCTTTCTCTTTGTTATTGTGCAGGTCATCTAGGCAAACTGAACAAGTCTTTTCAACCCATCATCCAGGTATCCAATTTCAAGGTAATCAAAAAGAAAGAAAGAGAGAATCAGTCTGAAGTTAAGAAGAATAGCTGCACAGGGGTTGCATATGGACTTACTGTCTCTGAAGAAATGAAACTGGGCTCGCCAGTCACCTCAATGGTTTTACCCTCAGATTCAGACACATTCTCCACCCCACTGCTTGATCTAGGAGGAATAGCTGCTTCTTGTGAAACCTATGAGGAGAAAGGAATCAAATTTATTTCAGAGACCGAATTCTACACTGTTCCAGGGATCCAATAATTAAGGAGAACATCTGATTACCTTGATGAATAATAAGGTAACCAAAGCAATTGAAAGTAATTTGGAGGTGAATCTTAGAAGCTTCATTGTTGCTGCTTTCTAGCAAAAGCTACAGAAGAATGGTATGGAGACAGTGTGTTCAGAGGGTTCAACTCGGGCTTTTATGTTGAGCAAGAGAACAATATTCATTTCAGGGCACCACCTTTTCATCCCACTTGAAACCTGAACATCGCCAGCTCCAATTCTGTAAAGTTTGATCAAGGTTGATTGGAATTTTGTAAGAGAATCTGTCTTCACTCAGACTCTGCTCACTTCTATGCCTGAGCAAGTCGTTCTTTCATCATACATGAGGAGACAGCTGGAAAGTCTTCAGTTTGATCAAGGTCAATTACTCTTGTATACAAACACGTCTGCCCTGATCAGCTTATCACATGTTGGAAGTTGGTCTACAGAATTTGAAACCATGTGAAGTCAATTGCTACCTACTCTTTGTAAAATCCTGGACATGTATCACTCAAGGGCAAGTAATAGAATAAGCTTTTCACAAGGTGATACAATTCACCAAAACACATGAATTGATCACAACTTGATGCCTCAATGAGCAACAAGATAAAGAAAGCACTTGAAAAGAGTACAAAGGTTAATCTTGGGAGCTTCATGTGTGGTGCTTGTGAATAAAAATTGTGCTTGAGTAGATTGGAGGTACTTTGTTGAGATGATATTGTTCTTTTGTGTACCTGTTAAACTTAATGTTTGTCCCAGCAAGTCACCTATTAATCCTGCTTGAAATCATAACACAGGCAGCTTGGATTTGGTAAGTTTGGTGAAGGTTGATTCAAAAATTGTAAGAAAACCTGTCTTTCTTCAGTCTTGGCTGGTGTTCATGTTTGAGACAGTTTTGCACTCATGAAAATCACCTAAAAGATCAGCTGGGTGTTGTGGTCAAAGTCAATTTCAATTGGACAAGATTCCAAGAACATACCTGTCCTCAGTCTGGGTCATCATGGAAATCAGCCTACAGATTGTGAAAACACATAAAATCAACCTTTTGCTTCAATTGCATTGTCACAGCTCATCTTCCTCCGTTGGCACTGCAAATGAGTATTCAAGAGCCATTTTTGGATAATAATAGGAATGTGTACAAGTGATCATGGGAGGGGATAAACTCATCAATATCAATATCAATTCTCTTCCCAATATTACTGGCTGATGTGAAAAGATTCAACTCTTGGATTTCCTTTTCATCCCAAACCAATTGGTCATTTGGAATGCTCAGCCTGAGCCTGATTGCAAGTCTTGACAGCAACTAGAAGCTACTGCATTTATCCCAAGTAAAACAAGCTCATTGGGATGGAATCATGAATTCCTCTCAGCAATCTGGTTATAAGCAGCTAGTGCATCAATTCACCTTTACATAAAATGAAAACAGTAGCAGGTTTTCCTTCTAGTAAAGTTAATTGACAATAATATCCTACCAATTTATTTAGCTGTATAGCTTCTTGCAAGCAGTCAATTCAGGATTAAGATTTCAGAGTAAAAAAGACACTGATTAGGGGGTATCAAATATAAGAAATCCACCATTAGAAACTAGTCACTTTTCCCAAAACTTTTTTTTGCATCAATGGGCCCCAAAAGGGGTTAAATGAAGAACCAAAATGTTTAAAAAAGGGTGGATTTTTTAAAACCAGTCAATTAAATAAGGGCCTTAATAAAAAAACACGGTTTTTCCGTGTTTACACGCGGTTTTGCTGCGGCACAGCACACACGGTTTCCGCGTTTAAACACGGTTTTGTATTTAATTTTGGGCATTAATAAAAAAACACGGTTTTTCCGCGTTTACACACGGTTTTGCTGCAGCACAGCACACACGGTTTCCGCGTTTAAACACGGGTTTGTGATTAATTTTTTACCGCTTATTTTTTGAGTTTTTTTGAATTTTTAAAATTGTTTCCTAGGTTTCCAAGCGCGTAGAATTTAATGGTAAAAACCATTTTTCATAAAGGGCATTAATAAAAAAACACGGTTTTTCCGCGTTTACTGGCGGTTTTGCTGCCGCACAGCGCACACGATTTCCGCGTTTAAACACGGTTTCGTAATTAATTTTTTATGGCTTATTTTTTGAGTTTTTTTGAATTTTTAAAGTTTTTTTCCTACACTACAAAAGGCGTAGAATTTAATGGTAAAAACCATTTTCCATAAAAATGAATTTTGATTATCAATTATTTTTTTCACTCATTTCTCAATTAATTGTTTGCGTATATGTATGTACACACCCAGGGCACTTCACAAAAATCAGTGCATCCCAGGGATGCCATTGTCCCTGAGACGTCCCTGGGCCGGGATGTCGTCCACAGGACATTACTGTCCACGCCTGGCATCCCTGTCACGTCCCACTTAAAAATTTAGCGCAGCCCAGGGATGTCATTGTCCCTGAGCCATCCCCGCAACCCGCATGCCATCCCCAGGTTGGGACCAACTACCCTTGGCCCCTCAGGTGGGCCAGTTTGGGTTCCCAAAAGCAAGTGAGATACAACAAATAATTCACATCAGGGCGGGATCAACAATCACAGGCGGCTCCAGTAGGCCAGTTTTGGTACCTGCAAGATGCCAAGAGATAGGGAGAAGATATGTGAAGGCTGTTGCTGACGACTTGACCAAGGAATGTTGGACTTCATATAATCCCCTCTTCCAAAAAAATTCATGGCTCAATAAACTCACCAGCACCAGTCAAGAGATCCATTCTTCTCTAGATCAGTTGGCTGAAGATCTTTGGAAGCTTCCAGACCGTAAGTTTCATCCACTCCTTTTTTCCCTCTTGGGGATCTTGTGTCTCAATGTGACCCACTCACTTTGATATTTCTTATTAAATCTCTTTTAGCTTCAATGAAGAACTATTTTGATCTTGAGGTCTGCAATAAGAGAATCAATCAAAGTTCTTCCTTAGGATTAAAATTTTTGAACCATCCTGCAACAAACTGAATAAAATGAGCACTTTGATTTATCCAATCAGTCTGTCTTCTCAACATTGACTTGTATAGTAGTACTAGCATTGCTTCAGATATGAGTTTTTTAATATGAAATGGTCCCCAATTTTTATTAGATTAAAGCAAGAGCATAAACAAGTGTGGTAAATGTTTTCTCTCTAATCTCTCAGTGTGGGCTCCCTTGGTTGTTTTGATAATGGAATGGAGACACTTGAAATGAGGGCATTGATGGGAAGAGGATTCTTGCTCTGTCTTGCAGATTTTTGTTTGGTTGGGTGAGGTATGGACTGCTGGAAGACTGCATTTACAGACCCATGAGGTTGGCAATGGGTTCAATGGATTGATGGCCATCCTGTGAAGAGAGATAAAAAATAATTTGAAAAAGAGTTATGTGTTGAGTTTCCATGTCACATGTCACTCATTCTTTAGTCTGTGCTTTTACACCTTTCATGACTATGTCACAGTTGTAGATTTATACCTGGGTTGATGGTGTGTAAGGATTCCTTCCTCATCCTTTTCACAAACATCACCCCAGGTATGTTTCTTCTTTCCTTTTCTCTCTTCAAGTTGTTCATAGATATTATCTCTCACTGAGCTAATATCATCCTTTTCACAACCATCATCCCAGTTCACTGCATCAGGTTATGAGCACCACTGAGCTTCCAGCTAACCTTAATCATCCTTTCTTCCTTGTTGCCGGTTGCAATCTTGCTTTGAACTGGTTGCATTTGGATCAATACTCTCTCTAGGTTGCTATCCATTCACCATCTCGGATCAGACCAGCTTGTGAATCCAATACATTTGGCCTCCTGTTGAAGAGTCCTGATGATTGCGCTCAAGAGCAGTTTGGGCATTGCCTCGGAACTACTGCATGTAAATTACTTTGATATATGGGAATCTATCAGCAAGAATCCCCCACCGGCTCAAGATTTGGATAGTGTCAAAAAAATTGAGAAGATTGACGAGTTGAATTTGATGGTCGCCAAGCTTGATGCCACTCTTGCCAAAGGTGAAGACACACACATCAGAGAAGTCAGTACTGGTATCTAAGATTTCCTTTCCTTCATGAGATCTCTTTTTTTTCAATCTCACTGATTACAGTTTAACTTTTTTTGGCGGGAAGATTTAACCACAAAGTACTCGCACCCTACTCCCGAGATCCTTCTTGACCATCGAGAAACCTTTCCATCCTCCCAACCAATCAAGAGCTCCTTGATTGATTCCCCTTCAACTTTTTTCCTCTTCACCATTGCTATTCTACTTTATCAATCCAACCCTCTTCAATCAAAACATATCAAACCTGACCCACCATCATGAGCACCTCAAAAATTTCAGGCTTGATGAGATCATCACTCCAATTAGCAGCATCTCATCTGCCATGCAAACGACCGACACCAGCTCAATTCGCCACTTCTACTGCTCAATTTGTCTCCCGGAGCTCCAAGGTAGAAATGGCTGAGGTTGTCGATCAATCCAGACCATCAACTCTCTTTGACACTCAATCCTCTGTTGCTTCTTCTTCATCTTCCTCTTCTGTTGATGCAAGCTACCCTCGATATCATCGACCCTATTGTTCATCATCCTGACCCACTCCCCGTCTCTCCCGTACCCAAAATGCGTCAAACTGAAAACACTCAAAAACAAGAAAAAAATCAAAAGTAAGTAAACAGGTCTAGAATAAGCTCCTTACCCTCAGAAGATTAGTGTTGATTCATTTATTATTTCGTTTGCAATAGGTAACGGTCTTATCGATCTGTAGGAGCTCGCAGATTTGATCTGTCCGGACACCATTCTAGTCTTGATTATGGCAGTGAACAATGAAATTGGGATCATCCAACCCTTGAAAAAGATAGGAGCAATCATCCGCCGGCATAAGGGAGTCTTTTTCCACACTGATGCTTCTCAAGCTGTGGGGGAAACTCATCTCCAAATTGGTAAGTCCATCCACCCCTTTTGTGATGATTTTTTTGAAAGATTTGAACTTCATTACTCCAATACTCATCATTTTTGATTTGGATTGATACAAATCACTTCAGCAAGCCAATTATAATTTGGAGAATGAGTGGGAGAAACTCAGACAATCCAGTAGTGAGAAGGTCAGTGAATTTTCTTGGGGTTATAATCACAGCAGGTCAGCGTTGCTGGCAAGGGAAGTGCTTGGAGCTGATTTCTGAGAGAGGTAGACAAGCGGCCGATCAGCAACCGGAAGAGTCCGAGGACACATTGAGTGTCAGAGGATCATGCCTCTTAGACGGCACGAATTGTCATCCGACACCATTTTGTTGCAGAGGCAACAATTAAAGGTAGCAAGGGTAGCGATGGGGGTTTACTGACGTTCAGTCAATAGCGACCAGGAGCAAGCGTTGAGGAGGAAACTGAGGAGGTGAGCTTGGTCGATACTGATCAAGAGCAAGAGTTTCAGAGGCAACTAAAGGATGAACAGGCTACCGGATCAGGCAAGAGTGAGTCAATAAGCCTACGCGTTTATCAATGCAATTAGGAGTGAGTCAACAACAACCTAGACAACTCGAATAGGATCAAGTCGATAGCAACCTAGAGAGAGTATCAGGCAAAGTGAATAGGATTGAGTTGATATCTTCATACTACCAATACCCTTGTACATCAGGCTCTTTGCTCAATAGTATTCCTGCTTCGAAAACAGATGATACTATGTGTGTATGTGCTGTACAACTAGCTCAATGACATTTTTTTGCCAAAAAAATGCCAAAATGCTGTCTTGGTGACGGCTCAGAGACACCACATTGTGAAATCCTGAAGATGTAAAATCTTTGAGTAGACGGCCCTGAAACACCTCCAGGCCAGCAGTGGGATGCTTTGTGGGGACGTCATGTGGATGCTACACAAGGACATCCCATGGCTGGCCTTTTATTTGTGGAGGAGCACGTGCCAGGGATGCTCTGAGCTGTGGGGGCTGCTGTCCTGGTGCCAGCCCCCTGGACCCTGCCACTTGGACGTCCATCTGCACTGGGGGTGTACCTTATTTTTTATGTTTTTTTGAAATTTTAAATTTCTTTCCTAGGTTTTAATATGCTTAGAATTTAGTGGTGCAATCCAATTTTTTTAAAACTCAACGGTTCACTTTTAATAGTCAAATTACACCCATTTTTCTACTTAAATTTTGGGCCTTAATAAAAAAATACAATTTTTCCGTGTTTACACGCGGTTTTTCTGCGGCACAGCACACGTGGTTTCCGCGTTTAAACACGGTTTTGTAATTAATTTTTTATGGGTTATTTTTTGGGTTTTTTTAAATTTTTAAAATGGTTTCCTAGGTTTCAAAGCGTGTAGAATTTAATGATAAAAACCATTTTCCATTAAAATGAGTTTTAATTATTAATTTTTTTTTCACTCATTTTTTTCATTAATTGTGTGCACACATGTTTTTACCTTATTTTTTATACTTTTTTTAAATTTTAAATTCATTTCCTAGGTTTTAATGTGCGTAGAATTTAATGATGTAATCCAATTTCCATAAAAATCAACGGTTCATTTTTAATACTAAAATTGGACATTTTTTTCACTAGAAGTTTTACAGCTTAATTTACATGCTTTTTTGACATTTTAAATTTTTTTCCTACACTTCAAGACATGTATAAAGTTATGGTAAAAATCATTTTGCATCAAAATGAGAACTACATCTTGTATACTGCATTTGACACTATTTTTTATTTAATCAATTATTTCCTAGGTTTTAATACAATAAAAAGAGAATTTGATTCAAATATCTCCCAAACATTAAAAAACTCCAAAAAGAACACCCCCAATCATCAGAAAGGGATACACCAATCATTTCTACAGATTCCCATGCACAAGGCAGACTCTAGTCAAGATTATGATCAGCCTGGACACCATGACACTATCCAACGAAGTGATGCCAGCCAACTAGTTTATAAATAAAACTTGGTATAAAGATACCACTTTGGGAATACTTGTACTTCCAAGCGCTGTCACAGGTTCAAGCCCCATTGAAGTCATTTTTGAATTTTTGAATTTATATTCATATTCAAGATATAGTTTTCATTTTTAAGAAAAGTGATTGATACCATCATTTTTAAAATGTCTCAAAGTGTGGGAAACTAATTTAGAATGTCAAAAAATAATGAAAACTAAGCTCTTAAAAATCAATTGAACTTTAAGACCAATTACAGTATTCTGAATGAACTGTTGAGTTTTATGGAAATTGAATGCTACCATTAAATTTGAAATACTTCTAATGTAGGAAACATTTTCAAAATTTCAAAAAAGCATAAAAAATAAGGTAAAAAAATTAATGCAAACAATTGAGTGAAAAAGTGAAGAATTAAACAAAAAAACGGTTGTCCAGCGCAGTATTATAACAATCTTTGGTTTTTATGCAAAATGATTGTTACCATAATTTTAAACATGACTGAAAGTGTAGGAAACAAATTTAAAATGTCAAAAAACAATGAAAATTAAGCTCTTGAAAATCAATTGAAAAATATGACTAATTCAAGTATTCAGAATGAACCTTTGAGTTTTAAGAAAATTGGATTTTACCATTAAATTCTAAACACTTTTAAATGTAGGAAGCAGCTTTGAAACTTTAAAAAAGAATAAAAAAATAAGGTGCACACATGTATGCAAACAATTAGGTGAAAAAGTGATGAATTAATTAAAAAAAACATGTCAAATGCAGCATTCAACGTATAGTTTTAAATTTGGGGAAAAATGGTTGGTACCAAAATTTTATACATGTCTTAAAGTATAGGAAATAAATTTAAAATGTCAAAAAATGATGAAAATTAAGCTGTAAAAAATCAAGTCAAAAAATGGGTCTAATTGCAGTATTAAAAATGAACTGTTGAGTTTTGAAAAAATTAGATTGCACCATTAAATTCTACACACATTGAAACCTAGGAAATAATTTTAAAATTTCAAAAAAGCATAAAAGATAAGGTACAAACATGTTTGCAAACACTGAATTGAGAAATGAGTGAAAAAAATAATTAATAATTAAAATTCATTTTTATGCAAAATTGTTTATACCATTAAATTCTACGCCTTTTATAGTGTAGGAAACAACTTTAAAAATTCAAAAAAACTCGAAAAATAACCCATAAAAAATTAATTACAAAACCGTGTTTAAACACAGAAACCGCGTGTGCTTTGCCGCAGCAAAACTGCGTGTAAACGCAGAAAAACTGTGTTTTTTTATTACGGCCCTTAAATAATGGTGGATTTGGTTATATTTGATACCCCCTATTTTATGATTTTACCAAATCTTCTCATATTTTTTTTTCCAAAAGCCCAAAGCATATATCAACAAATTCAGACAGAGTATAATTGAATTAATCTTGAAAAAATGATGTGATAAAAAATTATCTCAAGCAGGCTTTGTAAATCTGGATGCTTAAAAATATAAAACTAGAAAGAGACAAAGATAAAGAAAAAACATGAGATGGTCTGTGAATGCATGGAAATCAGGAAAAAAAAGAAGTCTGAGTTTTTATTTTTCTTTGTATTTTCAAATTCCTGGAATTTATTAATGATGACTTTGGAATGTATGTTTAAGAATGGCTGCATTTTTAACTATAAGGGGCAAGGGGAAACCAGATTTATTGGTAAGGCAAGACAATGACCCTGTCTCTCACAATCCGTCTTTCAACTTCATCCATACTCCCATCGTCTAATTGGTGTGGTTCACCAAGTAGATATTGAAATACAGGATGACGTTTTTCTGGGGCTTTGTAAATTTGAGACAGGATTGTTGATACTAAATTATCCATAAAACTATTCTTTATTCTTTGTAACATGCCAATAAACCTTGAGGTGGCCAGTAATAGAATCATTAATTCTCAGCACAGTACCCAACAAACAGGGTAAGTTTTATGTAACTCACCCAGGGTTGGGTGGCACTGATTCAATTGATGGGCTTTCTTCTTGTGGATTGACATGATGAATTGTTGGGTCCTTGAAAAAGTCATATCAAAATTTCAAGCAACACAAGAAAAGTAGTGGTCAGCTTTAATGACACCTCTGATGATTTGTACCGGTCCAAATTCACTAACCTCCTTGTATTTAAATTTCCTAGGAGCATATTGACTTCTGCAAATAGGACATGTACCTTTGGTTTGAAGCCAGTTATCTGCACAGGCACGATGACAGGAGTGACCACACGGTTCCAAAGTTCCAATTGGCCCTTTCTCTTTGTTATTGTGCAGGTCATCTAGACAAACTGAACAAGTCTTTTCAACCCATCATCCAGGTACCCAATTCAAAGGTAATCAAAAAGAAATAAAGAGAGAATCAGTCTGAAGTTGAGGAAATCAGCCGCACAGGGGTTTCAGATTCACTTACTGTCTCTGAAGAACTGAAACTGGGCTTGCCAGTCACCTCAATGGCTAATTTACCCTCAGATTCAGACACATTGTCCACCCCACTGCTTGATCTAGGAGGAATAGCTGCTTCTTGTGAAACCTATGAGGAGAAAGGAATCAAATTTATTTCAGAGACTGAATTCTACACTCACATCATCCCTGACATGATTTCCCAGATGGGAAATCTTGTAAATTTTAGGGAAATCCTGTAAAAAAAATTAAAGATTTTTCCAGATTTTTTAGATTTTTCTAAATTTTTAGATTGTTCCAGATTTTTCAGATTTTTTAGATTTTTCTAGATTTTTTTTTAGATTTTTCCAGATTTTTTTATAAGAGACATCTACAGTTGCGCAAGGCATCCTGCCGTACAGCCTGCCTCAAAAAAAGAATTCAAACGCGGGGCAGATCTGAGGCTGCCCATATGGGTAGTATGTCATGCAAATGCCATTTTTGGACTCCTTAGAGTCCATAGATTCAGATTCTATCAGGGTGAAAGATTCTGACCAGCCACTTTTTTTGAGCCTCTGATTACAAACATGGGCCTAACTACATACTATACAGCCCTAAGTATGGATTTATATGGCCTAAGTACATATGTATGTGAACATTACACCTTTAATGCACATAGATATGAGCAGCGGAGCCTCAGTAATCAGCTAT